CCCACCCCCCTCCTGAAAGATATAAGATAAAAGTCTCTCATGCTACTTTTAAAATGTTTTGATAGGCTGATGATGAGAGAGATTAGTTTTTGTTATGTTTATATCCTTTTTAAAAAAAAAAACAACAAAAACAACAAAAAATCAAAGCTCAAGAAAAATGTGTGTCACATATTTTCACTACATTATAATTATGCGTCGACAGGCAGAAGATAAATCTGTCACGTGTCTGAAACCCAGATGTTCCATGATGTCCCACCTCGTATGCCTGGCAAAATCGTTCCTGCCTGACCCTACTAAGCTCTTGCCTGTGGAGGGCAAGTGTCCGCAGTGTAACGTTACCTTACTGTGGGGAGAGGTCATCAGACATATGAAAGGCTGCCACAGTAACTTGTCAGAATCTACTCTTCAGGTGAAACCTTACTTTGACTTCAGATATTTTTTTTTCATAATATAATATACAGTCGAACCTGCTCTTACAGCTACCTGTTCAAGACAATCACCCGTGCAAGCGACCACTTCACATTTCTCCCCTTGCATTTGTTTTTCTATATTGTAATGACACTGTCCAAGATGTCAACCCGTCTAAGACTACTTTTTTTCTTCCCAACAATGGGTCATTTTTTACAATTGCAGCTGGATTTAGAATTTTGAACCATTGTCTTTGAATGGGAAAAGAGGAAAATATGCCTGTTTTATTAATTTTAGGATCAGAAGTCCTCTTCCGAAATTATCTAAATTGTGTCGATGGGCGTGTAAATAACATTTACATTTAACATTGAATTAAGAAGTGTTGAAAAGGGAAGAAATACATTTGTCACTTTGGAACTTCCACCTTCTGCGCCTCTGATAAATTTGTTGCAACTCACATTTTAACTGTTGCGTTCCAAATGGGTGGTCTGAGGGTGTCACAGTTAGATCCTACTTTTTTCTTGCCCTCTGTTGATACTGTTTTTCAGTCTTGATTGTTCCTTGCACAAACTGATTATTATTACATCGGTGTGCATCTGATCTCTTTAGTAAATGTGACAACTAAACAAACAACATTACAAATTGCAAAATTTGCAGACAGATCAACACACTTGTGCATACAACGTGTAAGAAAACGTGTTGACTTTAGTGAGGCATTCAAGTTATTAGAAACCAGCTTGTGGGTGGTTGGCGGGTGCTCTGGTGTGGTTTGCGGGGGGGTAAACCCACTCTGCATACCGGGGCCCTCTTTTGGTACGAAATCTAAGTAAAAGTGACATATATGTCACTAATTTGGTCTTTAAATGAAAAGATGGGAACCTATGTTAATTCTTCATCAAATGAATGAACTGGTAAAAGAGACCTGTTTTCAGGAATTGCCGAAAAGTAATTTGACTTTGAAGTTATCATAAAGGAATGTGCCCGAGCTGCTACTAGTGGCTCACAAGCACAGCGGTTTCGACCACGAGCTGCTAGGAGTGGCTTGCCAGAGATACGGTAAGGGGTTAAAGACTGGCCTCATGCCAGGACAAACCATCAGTGGAGATGAATACTGTGTCCACTATTTTCCTAAGTGCAATGAGTTTATGACATGGTCCTGTCTTTTTGCTGATTGCTTTTCATGGGATATCACTTGTATACATTCACTTGTTTGAACAAGAAGATTATGGAAGGCAAATGAAGCAGGAACATGAGAAGATGGAGTCTTTGGATGTGTGTCCGATTCTTTAAAGTCTGAGATGTTCACCAGGGTTTGTGAGGGAGGTGGGGATTCAGTTCTTGTTAACTTGAAATTTGTGGGTAGGAAATCTAGAACAGTGCTTTTGCTATTGAATTAATCTATTATAATAAGGTAAAAGATGTGCGCTAACTTTTCTGTATGTTAACTTATCATGTGAGGTAAATTGTGTACGGAGTGGCTCTCTCATGCCACCTACTGCTGTTCTTGGTAGAGAAATCCTACAAGAACATCTTTTGTTGCGCTGGCCTTTGACGAATGTTCGTATATA